GCCGGCGCGCGGAGTGTAAATTATCTAAGCTGAAGAAAAGTAGATGGCACAGACCATTTTTTTGAGCCATCTATTCTCCGGGTAGAGTACTAGTACTGCTTGGCCCCAAATCTCCTAAAGCACTTCCCTTTACCTTGGGTTCTGGCAACCTGCCGAGGTGTCGAATCGGTCCACTGAGCAATCCTTTGAACACCGGGCAAAATTGGGAGAACAATCTCCGTCCAGGAGAAACAGGGCTGTGGAAAATGAGCACTTCTGTGATACAACAGAAAGGGCTTCCCAAAAACTAAGCCCCATACAGGGGGAGATTCCTACAGAAGTGGGTGGATAAACAGCTTGTGATCAACCACAACCCTGAAGGGAAACTTGCTGGTGCGCAGGGAATGAGTTGGAATGACCCTGGGGATGCCCTTAAAGGAAATCACCAGATGGATGGTTTAACTCGGGTTCATTCCAATTCTCATTCCCTGCATCTCTCGCACCAGCGAGGAAATCACATCCCCGGCAACACTCGACGCAAGCTCCTTGAACACCTCAGGGAACAGGCACTTGCTCGGTTGGCATCGGCGGGATATATATGTCTTCTACTGGGGTCACGTCAAAGTGACCAATCCCTATGCTTAGATGCCCAGTGGCCATGGGAAAAAAGGGCATCATGTTGTGGTTGATTGAGCTTAAAGGAACACCCTTCCCCCAATAAAGGACGTCAGAATGACCAACCCCGAAAGATATACCCTCCATGACATGTGACCAAGTTGGGGAGCTTGCATGGAATCGCCTGCGGGAGTACTGCTGACGGGCGAAATCCTGAACCAGGTGATAGGTGGCTTGTTTCACTAACTGCGCAGTGTTTCATCCATCCTAACGAGTGAGCGCGGTGTTTCGTCCATCCACATTGTGGTTCTGGTTTTGATTGGGGACCATTTGGTAGACATCATGTTCATGGGGAGTTAAGTCCGACCATGTTTGGATGTTCCCTATCGAAAGCCGACTTGCAACTGACATCTGTAGTTGGCATGGGAGCTTGGGGCTATGCAATATCGGTATTAGTGCTATTGCAATTAAGGGAGTGTTCCTGCAGTAATGCTGAAGCCAAGCGACCGCACATCATAAACATCCAGTTACAGGGAAGAGACCATATACCTTCAAGAACTGCCTTCAAAGCATGACATGCTTTGCAATTCCTTGGGGGTTGAACTGGAATGAACTGGAACCATTGCATCTCCGAAAGTAGCATATTTCACGTTGCTTTGGGAGATGAATGTTGACAAAACAATATGTGAGTTTCTGCAACTTGTGGTAGAGCGAAAGGACAGCATACTTGAACAAGTCAAACCGGCATCGCTAGCTCCTTCAACAAGAAACCCCACCCTGCGAAGCAGTTGTCGCACGCAGAACTCACCAAATGAGTAGCTCGCCGTAAGGCTCTGGCCCAAACCACCGGGGGCAGGAGCATACCAGAGCTGCCGAAGCCATCATCATAGCCTTGGTACCTGAACCAATCAAGTACACTCAGCGCCTGACACGCGTGCGTTCTGTACACCCTCGTTGCAGATACCACTATGTACAAAACAGCTAAGTCGTGTCGTAATCAAACCGTGGCATAGTTTGGCAGTTTGGCTACAGCTTTTGCAATGATGGCCACGGTGATATGAGACCCATAAGTGCTTAAAAACAATCAGCATCTTGGCCATTCACATAAAACATTTGGGTATGGGTCAAAATTAAACCACGAGGGGACCGCAGCTTTGGTCAATGTTTCTATTTACCAGGATTCCATTTTGACCCAGAGCCATATAAAATGTCAGCTGGATTACAATCCATGTGCGGAAACATGGCAAGCAGCATCTCCCCAGCTCCCAGCCTAACGTAGCTTTCAGGCCATTCCCCCGCCAGCAGGTACCTGGGGACAGGTACTGTTGAAATCGTCCTGACTCGGTTGCGTTCCGCTCCCCATCTAAAAGTGACTAACTTTTAGCGGTTTAATACAGAAAACCCACTGGCAAAAAGTTAAAGTCCTAACATCCAAGCAAAATGCACCAAAGCTGAGGTCTTCCAACTCACTTCCGAACGAGTGGATGGGCCAAGAAAAGTCCCAACTCTTGTTTATCACTAAAATGGTCCTCCCAAAAAGTATAAAGTCCAGAAATTAGGGAGTGAGCCAAGGACGACTGCGGGGCGTGCAACCAATTACAACAACTTGGAAGATGTTCAAATCGGACCGACGCAAGGCCGGAACTTGTTGCTCGTAGTTTTGTCAAAGCCAACCCGCCGAAAGGGGGAAACTGATACAAGGACCTTCGCACAATGCAGAACTTCGCGCCCGGGCAAATTATATCAATCATGTTCAGAGCTGAAGCATCAACACCAACCTACCGCTCAAAATGGCTCTTTTCAAAAATTGTGGAACCCTCAAACCCTGTGGACCAGTCAGAGTTCGTAAATCATAATCAAGCCCAAGTTGTTTGGAACCAACCACTAAATTATCAACAACATAGGCTGAAGCTTCAAAGACGAGTCCCAAAACTCTTAGCGCGCGACAAAGCGCAGATCAGCAGCAATCCAGCACGCCTGACACTGAAGCTCTCAAGATGTGGCTTTGTTTTTTCAGGGTACCCTGTTTTGTAGCCCGTGTTTTTTGGAAACCAAACAAAGGCCACAGATTTTCTGGAGCCCCTGCTTGGAGTCAAACCTGAACGTGCAAGTAAACTTGAAAAGTAAGCACACATGCAAACGAGCAAAGAAATGGACGGACTCGAAAGATTAAACGCTCTGCATAAAAGACGCCCACAATCACACCCAGCAAAGTATGAGCAAGTTACATCGTTCTGTGCGAAACACAATCCTGACTGGCCCCGAATCGGAAATCGATGCAGGTGTCTGTGGCGCGAGTAGTTCAAAGGCCGCATGAGCCCACCCGGAAGGTGTGACAATGAAGGCCCCATTGGGCAAACCAGAGAAAAGCAAACCAAGCCCGAAAATCTGCGCAAAGAGGCGGGAGCACCATCGAAAAGTCCAATGAATTCAAACACCAACTGAAAAGCACATCACACATGACCGCGTCTGGAGAGCGTTGTTGGTCAACCAAAGTCAGAGAGTTGCCTGCTGCAGTGCGGTCTTGTACGGGAAGGAGAGAGGGCCGCTGACCACCGGCTCCAGGGCTAGCCAAAACCCGCGCTGCTACCCGAAACAGAGGAGCCGGCTTGTGCTAGAACCAGGTCCACGGAGGAGTACAAATTGCTGAGCGTGCGAAGGGACACTTCATTCAAGTAGAGTCTCCTCTTTGCAAGCTGTCCGAAAAATGGAAGCATCAATCTGGCAGTTCCGAGTGCGCTCACTGCTGCAAATCCGACCTGCGTTTGGCCCACTGATCGAAAAACTGCGACCAACAATATCACTACCATCAGTTAACCCGGACCTGGTGGGTTTGGATTGGTTTGGGGAATCGATCTCCTGGTTCTTGAGGGCAAATGGGAAGAAACCCTTCAGCAAACCAAGCTCCAAGCCTGCTTGAGGGGAGCTGGCAAAAGCACCTCCCGCTATTTCCCCTACTCCACAAGAAAACTCACCTCACCTTTGGCCTTTGAATCTTTCAACCCATTTTCCGGAGCCAAAGTGATCCATGTTTCTCTCAAGTGCCGGGCCTGGTGGGTCGGCCTCGGGCCATATCCCCTGAGCCCGGCCGCGCGTTTTTTTTTGGAGCCAATCGCTTTGGAGTTGCTCCCTTGGTAGATGACTGAACCACCGGGTACACCAGGGCCTTCTGCATTTGCTCAGCAAACCCACCAAAATGGCGAAAAACAGATCAAATATGGGTTTGTGGCTGGACAAAACAGGGCCCCCTCACAGAAAGTGAGCCGAAAACAAACATGTCCACAACCATGCACTCAGATGGTTGTGTGTTTTGAACACATTTTGAGTTGACTGCCCTTGCCGGGAGACCATCTGTGAGTGGAAGTCCATGACCATCTGCATGCAGATGGTCCACAAAAGCGACACTCTCGACTCCACACATATCTAGATTCAATGCTGCACAGAACAGCCACATGAAGCATCCAAACTTCAGCTTATCGAAACCAATACAAGTTTGCAATCCACTGGCTAGCCAACCGGTTTGTGGTCTCATTCCTTTCAGTCACAGGCTTCCGAATTTTAATGGCATGGCCGAGTCTACGTGAAGAATCAAACTTGGAGCGGCTAGTTCTAGTACTACCCTCCTGTCCCCTACCGTGGAACCCACCTAACGAAAATGGCCCCTTTTGCAGGAAACTTGTGTTCCAGGACTCAGTCAGGCTTTCTGTTCGTGGCTTGGAGGGTAAGCCACGAAGTGTCTGAGACATATTGCGCTCGTCCATCTCTCCGAGCGCGTGGCAGCTGCTGAACGACATCCTGCGGTTTTGCGAGAAACCCAACCCGCTCCGCGGCGTCGGAGCGTGTGCCGAAGAGGGCCTCCGTCTTTGCCACTGAGGATTGGAAATGGACTGACAGGGGGAACAAGTGGCGAAAAAAAGAAGGGATATTCCCAATTCAACGTCCAGCTGATACCGCAAATAGCCCGAATTGGGATGGCAATTGAGCATTGGTTGCTCTTTGACTCCACTCGAATGCAATCCACCCGTCGGGTTCTCCCGCCAATTTCGGCCGCTTAAGGCCTGGGCCGTGCCGGAGTTTTTTGCGATCCCAGCGATGAAAGAATCATGGGATTGGCCGGAAGCTGAGGCAAGACATCTAAACCCTTAGGGTTTAGGGCTTCGTTTGTTTGTTTTCTTTTGGGGGGAAGGGAAGGATTCTGCAAGGGCTTCAATAAAACCCCAAGCCCTCCGAAGCAGCATACAATGTTGCTTCTCCCCAAAAGAACCCACAAGAACACCGCTCAGCAACACACAAAGCCATCTCGGGTCATGGCAAATCCTGAGCTCAGCACATCACTCTCCTACCCAAGCGCCTCTTTTGACTGCGGCAACATATGAATCTTGACTCGAGAGTCAGAGTCTTGACCTTCACCATGATGCAAAGGAGAAGCCAGCTTCTACCTGGCGAATGGCATCAGCGTTGACATGCAAGCAGATGCTTCTTATTGTGACTCGAGCAACTACCTTGCAAGCACAACTGTTGAATTTCAGTCATGCCGAAAGAGCCAACATGCAACTTCAAATCGTCCTCAAAATCAGGTGGAAGTAGTCCAATCACTGACTCCAGCCCCTAGCTATATCAGTGACTTCCCGTGGCACGCAATACCAAGAGCAGCTCTAGCAACGATTCTGACCTTTGGCGCTTAGGATGCAATTGGAAGCGGAAACCCCGAGATCGCCATGGATTCCTTTGAGACCAGCCCCCCCAACCCAACCCCCCCAACCCAACACCCCCAACCCAACCCCCCCAACCCACCCCCAACACCTCCAAACGGCCCGACGGCGCTTGCTGGCCTGTGGCACCACATCCTCCGTTGCCTCCGCCGAATCCGAAGCGTCCGTAGCCACGGTGGCCGACTCCTCGCTGATCGCTGCCAACTCAGCGCTCGCCACGGTGGTGGCCGCGGAGATCTTCCTGACACGGTGGACACTTCACTCAGTGGCTTTCGGGAAGAGGCAGAGCAAAAGTCGTTCCAAGCTCTTTGCCTCAGTTGTTCAGTGACCCTGGAAAGAAAAAGGGAACCCTTGTTGGGGAAGACCATTTATAGTCGGGAAGCCACCAACAAAAAGGAAAAGGGGTGCCACTGAACAACTGAGTTGCCTGTATGCCTGATTCCCGCGATGTTGGAGGCAAACCATGAACCAAGATGAACAGCATGGCAGCAAGCTGAGGAATTCCATCTGTGCATGCACTGTTTGGGCTGCTCAACATGGAGGGTTGGCCAATCCTACTCCATGAATCCCTATAGGGAAGCCACTACAAAGGGGACCCCTTGCATAACCCAGGTAAGGAATAAGGACAACATTTGAACAGCCCAGATCGTTTTAATCGATCCGCCACACCTCAGCAATGTCAGTCGTAGCCACTCCATGTCCAGCGTGTGCTGCCCTATCAGGCATCCATGAATAGTTGGTTTCAAGAAAAGGCGTTCTGAAAACGGCCCAGAAGTGACTCCCTCGTGCTGTTTCACAGGCATGGCGCAGGCTTTGCTTTGTCGACCTGTAATGGTCATGGCCGAGCTATTGCCCGAATAATTCATCAGCTTGTCAAGGTCCTCCAGTAGAGAGGATAGAATAAGGGTACCCTTTTTCCTGTAGTCTATTTTAGTATGGGAACCCGCCCCCCAAAAAAGTAAAAGGGCACTACTGAGGGACGTGGTTGTAGCGAGACCTCAACACAGTGCTACAACCTTTCTGTGGCCACAGCTACGGTGAGGCACAGTAAGGGAAGGCGCTCAGTGCCGATGGAGGCTTGGCTTTGCTGATTGGTTGAAAAGGTCCATGTTTCCGTTTTGCAGCCTGGAATGAAAAGAAGCACTGCCGCCAACCTCGCCCGTTTTCGACCAGCCGATAGGTACACAAATGCGCATCACCTGTGAGGAAGGGCCCTATGCTTTTATTTGCTAGCTGAGGAGATGGACCAAACCCGAGGATTGTCAAACAAACCGGGCCCCTCCTGCTCGTGACGTCGCCCGCCAAACTGGTGGCCTTGCGTGCAGAACCAACATGCAAATAAATAAGTATATACATATATTGTAATATAGTGTATATATATATATATATATAGGGTCCAAACCATCTCTTGGCCCCATAGCTGTCCGCACATTCTAGGGAAATCCTTCAACTCACTCTGTGCAAGGAACCTGGGGCTGGCAACACTTTTTGGCCTCCAGCCCGGACCGGTTGGTAGCAATGGACACAACTCATCAAATACATTGGAATACTGCAAGGAGTGACCGAGTCAGCAGGACAATATAGGCGCTGAGGATCAGGCTAGGACTGCCCTAGTTTAAGCCATCTCTAGCTGTCCGTCCTTCACGTCTGAAATGTAAGTTGAGCATATATAGAAACTCGTTGTCCGGCTTCCAGTGTTCATGGATCAGGTAGTTGCCCCAATCATCATCAATAGAATCAATAGCCATGAATCGCCGCCCGTGACATGTCGGTCCAAAAACGAGCATTAAGCCGATGCTAAGGCGAAGGCAACACCGGTGACAAACTGCATGAACCGGCGTCGAGTCTCGCCCACTGCCTGGCTGCATCACTGCAATTCAGGACTCAGCCCACCTTCAAAATGGAGGTTGAGCCACCGCAGAATCAACCCAGCTCTTGTGGTATCATAGATCTTAGCATTTGGAGTCATGGGGAATTCATCGAACACATATCTTCGGAGCATCCTGTCCACTAGCAACGGCTTTTCCAAACTTGGCATCTGCCGGCCACAACCCTACCTGCCATTGACTGACTATGTGTCCGCCCCCCACTGACTCAGCACCCCACTTGCTGACCAACCGCTGAAAAAAGGTCCCCACCTCTGCCTCCACTGTGTTGGCCGATCCCGAGCAATTAGGAAACACTTATTCAGCAAGAGTGCATGTCTGCTAGTTTCTCAACGTCATGAACTGTTTGTGTTCTCAATATCGCACTCATAATGCGAGTATAACTCTCCCCTGACCCATCAGCAGAAGCAGCTATCACCGGCCTCAATCACATCGTGTGCCACCTTCTTCGCATTCTCCGGCGTCTTAGGAGCACCTTCTCACACGTGACCGGAGAAAAAACAAACGAAGAGCGCCTTCTTTTGGGCCCGGCGAGGCAAACATGCCACAAATGAAGGAACTGTTTGCCACATTCCACAAATTTAGCCTAACGGTCAACACCCTTAGCCCGTCAGGGCGCCTATGCCTACACATACTGCTCATCACCTTGCACAAAAGGTCCGGTCAAGAGTTGTCTATGTCCTCTTGAAATTGGATGCATGCTGAACACTCGCGCAGAATGGAAACACTTCCCATCATCAACTGGCTTTGAAATACTGTGGGTTGGACAAGTCACGCTGCATTAGCATTGGTACTTCCTCGAAAACCAACCAACCCAAAGCTGTCCCTACCACTGCTTGCATATCAGCCAACAATTTTACAATGCAGCACACGCTGGTTGGCTCCCACTAACCACAAGAAAGAGTTGATTGTGAATACATCACATCTAAAGTAAAACAAACAACAAAACACTCACAACTCCGGAGTGGTGTGGTACTGGCGAAAAAAGGAAAGACATGTCGCCTTTCCGGGCTTAGCCTATTCAAAGTGGATTGATCACCGCTCCATGCGCAGCTGTTCAATCATCGCATCCTCACCCACACACACACACACATCTACATCGCTCTATGTGCACTAGTCTGTCTATGTACATGTTAAGTTGTGCATATGCTAATTGATACATCCAATCGTTCACTGTCAAAGGCCAAGTTCATGTTGCAACTCTGGGCCCGACTAGTATCTGCATTTGGGCTGCCAATAGCTCCACAGTCCCCAAGCACCTCGGGACAATGGTCGGATGTTGCCAACTCTTACATCCAACGCGCGCCTGAGAACCACCAACTACCTTGTTGTCAGGATCAAGACGCCATCCCCACGATTGGTGTGCTGAATGGATCCTCACAAAATATCTCGCAAGCAATTGTTGTGAGCTGGTCACAAGAGAAGCGTGAGCATGCATAGCCGAAAAAATGAGGCTCATTGGCCGGGAAGCTTCTAACTGAGTCACAGTGATGATTCAAATTGTGGCCAAAAAGTCTAAAAAGTAGCGGGGGGGTTGGGGGGGCGGCAGCCCCCCCATGATGATCCAGAAAGTGATGATTCAAGTCAGAACCGGGCATTCAAGGTCTACCCATTAAACAGAGCAGTCGCACTCACGTCTTTTGTTGGAACTGAAGAAGCCCATGTTTACAAGCAAATTGCTTGCCGAGAACTCACTGCCGTGGATTGGCCAAAACAAGCCGAAACTTGTTGTTCACCACTAAAAAGTTCTTCCCCCCAATAAAAAGTCCAGGGACCCGGGAGGTGAGGGAAACTCAGATTCGACTTCCAGCGCCTTTTGTGTAGATGTCGTACTTCAGCACATCAAAGGCGCGCTTCGATGCCAGGCGGGTGTCCTGACACCGACAGCACCAGAAACCGATTTACAACATGACACTATGGTGTCTGGTGCTAGAAACGTCCCGCATCAAGCTTGAGTCACACCTGTTTCTACAGTTGTTCAACTAAGCTTGAAGATTCTAGCAGAAGCAAGAACAATGAGAACTGTCACAACCTCAGCCGGCATCACAGCCGATGCAGCCAACATCGAAACGGGTGCCGTGGCTAGCGCTGCGCATTCTCAAAAACATGTGAACAGAAACAGTCTACAAATCATTGGTGCAGTTTTGCCATAAATTAACAAGTTGTCAGATGAAAGCCCGGGTGCGTTGCGGACAACCTCACAGGCAAGCACACACTCCGAAGTACACCCTCCCCACAAACAATCTCCAAGCGCAAAGCTTCAGGCTATCTCAAGCGCATACTCCTGAAGAAACCACTCTCAAGGAATCGCCAAGCGAACTCAGCACTCTAAGATAAACCTGAATTCGTCAAATTCACATTTGTCAGTCCGCCAGGTACCGACTCCCCTCGGTTCAACAGAGAAAATCAGTGAAACAAAAGACGCACGAGCTCAATTGCACCCAAGTCTCAGGCAGAACTTGTCAAGTCAAGCGAAGGCGGGCACTCTCAACAGCAACTCTCAAAAGCTACCTCTGAACATCTGAAGGAGGAGGTTCCAGTTTACCCACAAATCCCACACCAACCCCAAACACAAACCTGACAAATTACCTGAAGAACACTTGGGCACCAGAAAGTGTCAATGGCAAACCGGATGGGCCGCACGCGCTCTCCATAGATCAAACTCTCGACCTCGCAAGCCAAAACCCGGCAACGCTCAAGTAAAACTTTCAGGAACCTCTCAAGTTGTGGACGAGCAAAAGGCAAACATGAACGCAAATAAAACCTGTCAGGTAAAACCTCTCACATAGTAACGGTGAAGCAGAATGCCAAGGGACACCTGGAGTACGAACTCTCGGTGACAACCTCTCCAGCAACGGTCAAGCAAAAGGCCAAGGGCACTTTCAAGAAACAAACAACTCTTAGATGCCAGTGACAATAAAAACGGCGCAGGCAGTGTCAAGCAAACTCTCTCACTTCCTCTTGGTGGCAAGACTGCAAATTGACTTCAAGTGCAAAATCGCAGGTACTCCTCAAGTGCGACCAAGCTCGAACTGGCTGGTGCTCGGCAGGGAATGAGTTGGAATGACCCCTAAAAACTGTTCGGTTCATTCCCAACCCCCCCCTGTGGATTCCCTGCTGAGAACCAGCAAGTAAGGAAACCTCTCCATCTGGGGCGAATTATGATATTTCACCAGCCTGAAACTTGCGGTGGTTGGGCCGCTATTCCCCACACAAACCACCATTTGGTGTTTTTTGTTGTTCGCTCGTGTGAGGTCCTTATAACTCACCCAGACTCGATCTATATGTGCTTCAACTGCTCGAGCACAAGGCTCGCATCTGCCCGGGCGCCTGCAGGACGTTGCTCGTGACATCCGCCGCGCTTCGCAGAACCGGCAGCAACGCCTGAAAGCGAGAAATGGGACGCCTGGAGCCTCCTTGTGAGTCTCTTGTGGCTCTTTACTAGGTCCTCCCCTAGAGAGGTTAGGGATCCAGGGTACCCGTTTTTTTTTTTTTTTTCTGTAGTCTATTTTGCTAGGGAACCCTCCCCCTAGTAAAAGTGGGTAAAAGGGCACTACTGGGGGATAGTTTACACTATTGGGTCGTGACCATTGTAATAACCCCATTTCCAAGGTGAGAAGGAGACTCCAGGGGATGTGACTCACCCGCGGTTTTCTTTTGCGCCCAACCGGAGGGGCCCAGGATGGGGGCAGCTTGGCGACAACCCCGGCCCCATATGCGCAATCTGGTCAAAGCAAATGCAATGGCTCAGCTCAATATCAAATTTTAGATCTTCTTCTGGAATGTCTGACATGTTAGGAAAAGAATGTGCCTCCCAGTGCAGGATGTATCCAAATGCAGAAATATGCAGAAACAGCCTCAGCACCAGCACCCGAATCCTCTTTTTAGAATCCCTGCCATATTCCCTTGCGCTACTGCTGGGAATCTGCTCATTGGTTTGTGGTAACAGTACAATCCCCTCTACTCGTTCCTTGCGAGCTCAACCAGTTTTTGCCCCTCTTCACTCAATGAGACCTGCCGGGCCAGTCCCTTTGTCCCGAACGCCTGCTGCCGCTGTCGCACTTGATCGCCCAAGCGGGAGCCGTAATCGCCATCCACAAACAGCTCCAACGCCTCAAGGCTAAAGCCAGGCACGCGAAGCGCCCCTTTGGGAAGCACCGTCTTTGTGGAAAACAAACAAAATTGGGGGAACTTCCATTTGCTTTTTCCCCTGGGAAAAAAAAGAAACAACCATCCAGTAGTGATGGACTCCCTTTAAAGCCAACAAGGCAAACTGAAAGATTCTTAAGCAAATGGAAGGGAAGGCGCGTTTGGCTTCCTGACCTGTCCAATGTTTGATCCCCTGCTACAAGCTTAACTTCCCCACTAAACCCAGAAAACTGGACAGCTGAGGAATTTGACTCCTGGAAACCGCCAGTTCTGCTTTCAGTGTCTGTGTTCGTGCGTTGCATTCTCTGTTTTTTGGTGTACATGGTGTGTGTGTGTGTGTGGCCTCCTCCAAACTCTTGCTGATTTCAATTCGAATCGAATCGTCCCCAAAGGAGTCAACAGTCTTGACCCACAACCATACTGTAAGGACATGCCATATGGAATCAGCCCTCCTGCCTGCCCTGCATTGCGAATCTCTAATATGTAATCTAGAGTTGGGATGTGTCAAGCAGGTTCAAAAGCTCCAGCCACAAACTAACTGTTTCTATGCCGGCAACAAAACTGACGTGTCAGACTCCATATTTCACGTGTTCAGTGATTGCAAGTTCCATAGCTCCTCTGGAGAACCCGATCGCTCCAAAACCTCGAAACTGGCTCTGCAATTGGAACTGGACAGCAACATCCCAGGGATCAACATTGCGCTATGTTTTGCCAGCATTCGATCTCGGTCCTGGTGTTGGTGAATGGGCGGCTACACAAGTACTCATATTCAACGCTAATCAGTTCCCATGTCTACATTGCCGTTTAGGAGGTCCTTTGCTCAGGGTCGACCCAGAAGGCTTACGAACCTGAGGAGGATGAACACAAGCCCAACACAGCTGAAATCTGTACAACATACCAGGCTTTCAGCGGGATGAAACTCGTTGAGCAAAGCAGGAATGGACACATGCACGATCCTGGAAATGAAATCAATACAAAAACCAATAGCTCCAAAGAGTCGATCAAATTAAACCCAAAGCTGCAGTGCCCAGATGCGACCTTCTGCCATTTTTTCTTGCCGCGCTCACCCCCGAATCGGACTCGCAGAAAGGCCTTGGACAAGAAGTTGGAGCCCTCTGCTAGCCAGGAGAGACCCAAAGCTCCTGCTGGCCCTTCAAGTTCCTCCTGCATTGCGCGTGCTCGCCGCGTGGCAACAACAGACAACGAACTATTAGGCAGCAGAACTGTGATATAGATTTGCAAGTAACTGCACGCATGCATGCCTACATGGATGGATGGAGGGATGGATGGATGCATGGATGCCTGCATGCCCTGCCTGCATGGGGGCGTGGCTGGATGGACAACCAAGCACGGCTACGTGCATGTTCTTGGATTCCATTCCTATGCCGCCCTTTCCACGGGCTTCTGCCAAATGCCCTCCCCCTTTGCCAAAAAGCTTCCGAACCGCCCGAACCGCCGCGTCCTGCGCCAGCTTCGAGGACGTCAGGCCCTGGGCCAAGACGGCGGCATCTGCGCGCTGCCTCACTCGCGACAGCCCAACATCTGAGGGCCGCGAACTCCCTCGCCGTGGCCCCGAAAGGGGCAACCCCAGTGCCCACAAGCCGCCTTGTTAGAGTTACGTGATGTTAGGTGACATCAGGTAATGTTAGAGTTGGGTCATCAGTAATGCTAGGTAATGTTAGAATTGCTTAATTTTGAGTCATTGGGGTGGCTTGATGTTTGGCAATTGGTTGGGCCAATCGAAGTGTCGCTTTCCGTTTTCACGGGATGTCTGAAAGTGACATCCCAGCGTCGTCCGGAAAACGGCTTCTGCTTGGGAAGCCGTGAAAGATCCAGTGCACCGTTGAAAGGATAAGCTTGATCAACAATTCCAAGCAAGCACCATACCGCTCCCTCGAAGATTACAACACTTGGCATAAAGCACCGCAAATAGCATACATACAACATGGCAACACACAGATCCGAGTACTCCTGACACATGGGGAAGTTTCTGCAGTGGGTGTGGGGCTCAGGGCCATGGGCTTGCTTTTTTTGGGGGCTATTCATATCGAAGTCCTCCGATTCAATTAAATGGATATGTCATATGTCGAGAATCTTCATTTTTTTCCCGAAGAGCAACTACCGCAGCGGCCTCTGACAACGAAGCGTAATCATGCAAGATAACGTTCCATCAACAAAGTGTCCTGTGAGCCATGATCAAAACTTACTGTTTCCCTACAAACCCGAAGATTCAGCTAAGTTGAGTGAGTTCTCCATGTCCTTCCCCCCCAGCTCCCCCAAATGGACCACGTAAATCCGGACAAATCGGGACTTGACCAAACTCATCTCCACCGATCGAAGCTTCTGCCCAGAGGCAGTCGCTCCAGCGCCTCACCCAGGGCTTGGCGCAGCTCCCCCTCTGGCAGCTCTGAAAGAACCTGAGGAGAAATGGCCATGTGTCAAACATAGGGAAACCTGCCATGGCAAAATTTCCCCAAAACCCAAATAGAATCCAGAGTAGGATTTCAAGGCTTCCAGAAACCCCAAAATGGGTTACCCTGGCAAAGGGAAACATGGACTCAAACCTGCGGTTGTCTGGTGGTTTGATTTTGGCCCATACCCAAATCTCCAACCAGCAAACCAGCATGGCATCAAGAAGTGAGAATGTGGACTACCTTCCAAAACCAAAGCCCGAAATCGCCCAACATCTCAACTTGACAGAGATACGGACCGCTTGTCGGACTGTCTGCTGCTATGCGGTGCTACAAAGGTCCCATAAATGTTGGACCTGACACTGAGGTACACAAATGCAACGGCAGCCAGACACCCCCAGCCAACCGGCACCACCCAACCAGCCACAGCAGTGTCATCTTAGGGTATACCAGGCCTATTCAAAGTAGATGCGTTAGCATCCGTGGGCATCAGCTGGCACCGTGGATCCAGAGTGAAGCAATGCATGGGCCGATGTAGTGCTTGCGGCACAAATCGAATAAGACACGCCTGAGTGAATGGTCTGTCCGCTAGTCGCATGGGTAGAAGGAAAAGAACGCACATTCCTTTGTCGAGGGCTCGGATTCTGCGTCTTACAGTACCAAGCCGTATAGAGTCTGCCTTTGTCCGGAACTGGGTGTATCACCTATGGCTCAGACGCTCCCGTTCGACCGCCCGTGCCTCCTGGGCCTCGGAATAGACTTGCAGGTGCTGCGACAGCCGCATCTCCTCAAAGTCCATGGGGGAGTCCCACGTGTCCAGTGACGACTGGAAGCGGCAAATCGTGGAAAGGGCTTGTGGTTAATTTACGCTACCAAGCACCCAGAGCAAATTTCAACCTGCGGCAAAAAAGTGACATTGAACAGGTAAGAACAGGCTTGGGTCAAACATCTGAACGTGGTTCAACAACCCTTGACATGATTTCCTCTGCCATTCAAACATGCTTGGCCTGGCGAAAAAAATGACAATGCAACTTTCTAAGCCTGGCTACCGCACATGCTGGCAGAAGTCCATCCACGAGCTAGAAGCTGCGGCTTTGCAAAGTGGGATGTGACTACTCCATGACTGTTCGTTCTTTCTCACGGAAAGCAGCAACTAAAAACCCACATTGCACCTACGGGTGGTTGCTTCACAGGCCGCGCCCCCTGCGAGTGTTTTGGCTTATCTTGTCACTGCCTCCAACCGACTTGCCTTGTGACGTCCTTTTCTGAAAAACAGCCGGTTCATGCCTTCCTGTCGGTGCTCAATCAAAGTTCATACCAAAACCGTGTCCCCATATTGGACACCTGATGGACCCACCGGTTTTATGCGAACCCGTCCTCCGCGACTGAGCGCACATGGCCCCAAAAGCTCTCCGAGCGCAAGCGCAGCGCTTTAGCCTGACCGAAATCTGAGTTCAGTTGCGCACAGGCAGAGTAGAAAACGTTTCTTTGTTACCCTGCGGGTTGACTCTCAGGCATCTTGCTGGGGCTGTGAGGTGTCGAAGACTCTGCTCGCCTTCCTAGATACTTAGTTTAGCCGTGCAAAGAAGCACACAGCCCTCTCAACCAAAACTCGACTGCCGCGAGCGTAAATCCGTCGTGTCTCCTGCCTCATCCACGTTACAAAGGATGACAGTGTGGACAAATGCTCACTATGCTTTATTTACAGCTATCGAATACAATCAGTTGTAAACCGCAGCGTGCCAAGACCAAGCTGCACCAGCTCAACTCAACAATGCGCGGGGAGAGCTGTGTGGATGAAACTCGACGCATTGGGCACTGGAACCATTCAAGGGTGATTTGGAGACCACCTATTTGGATTCCTGAGCAAATTGAGTCACAGTCCAGCCACGAAAGAGATAGGAATGCCTCTGCTCGCCGGGACGAACGCCTAGCGATTGTAACAAAACCCACAATACATTAAACCTAAAAACAACTGTGGTACTGTATGTGGTGGATCTTTAGTTGGAATTTGGCGGTGGCAAGCATGACACATATGACCCCTACGTGGCACAGCATGAAGAGCTCAATGGCCATGTCCGGTTGGGGAGTGCGCTCATTGTGCACATGCAGCCTGAGAGTTGCTGCAACAAGGACTGACTCCTCGCGAGTCCGCGCGCGAAGCAAGCTTCTTTTGGTTTGATGCTGGTGTCTCCCAAGTTATGCCAACTACAATCGCCACTAAATACAGTTCAGGGCGTGATTCACTGTCTGCACATATACTTGAATACACAGAGACACACACGCACAAACATCAGTCCATGCAATTCACCTGGGTGAGGCACGCAGGTTTCCACATGTTTCAGGCACGTGTCACAGTCAGGTTTCCATGGGTGCGGAAACTGACCCCCTCTCGACTTGGCATGGAATTTGTCAAATATGAGCTGCTCCTCTAGGGAGGATGTCGAAATGCGGAAAAGAAGTGATGCGGAGGGGGCCCAAAATCCTTACAAGTTCTATTTCTGGGCAAAAAGCACGAGACTTCTCGAGAAAGGAAGCCTTTTTACGAGCCTTTGACGCACTGCAAGCGGCTATCATTCTAGTGAATAGAATGCTCAAACAACAACAAGTCCACATAAAGGGCCCCACTCAGGTGGCATTCACGACATCAACCAGGTGGAGATTGGGCACATCTACCCGCCAGGGCTGCAGAAAATGGAATCTGCTTCTGTGATACAGCAAAAAGGGCCTAATTTCAAAGACTAACCCCCCAGGGAAAAATACCCTGAATATCAGAGTGGTTGGATAAACCCCGAGTGATCCACACCCCTAGCTGTCGCTTTGCGCCGCCTTGTCTGCCTCTGTAGTCACCAAATCAGAGATCACTTCTGCCGTGGCCGCGGCCAGGAGTGGCAGCAATAGACCTCAGCGCGCGATCAGCGGGAGCCCAAGAACCGGGCAGGCCTTCATCCTCCTTTTGCCTCAGTCTGGGAAAAAATGACAAAAACAACACATATGTCCAGTGAAATCGATTCCCTGTAAAGCCAACAGGCAGGGGGAAAACAAGCATATTCTTAAGCAAATGGAAGTATAGAAGGGTTACATAAAGTTAGAGGGGCGTTCTGGCAGCTAGTACCCTTTGTGTCTTGCGGTGCGTCGTGGTGCAATGTGTGTGTGTACGCGGGGAGTGCATCGACAAATGATTGACGATGTCGAAGAGTTGGATGATGATGATGATGATGATGATGATGATGATGATGATGATGATGATGATGATGATGCTGATGGTGATGATGCTGATGATAGGGACCACGACAACAAGTGACGGCAGGGATAACTGTAACAAACAATGATAATGACGGCGATGATCATGGTGGTGGTGCTGATGGTGTTGATGTTGTTGATCATCATGGCGGTGGTGGTGGTGGTGGTGCTGCTGCTGCTGCTGCTGCTGCTGCTGCTGCTGCTGCTGCTGCTGCTGCTGCTTCTGATGGTGGTGGTGGTGGTGGTGGTGGTGGTAGCGGCGGTGGTGGTGGTGGTGGTGGCTGCTGCTGACGGTGGTGGTGGTGGTGGTGGTGGTGCTGCTGCTGCTGCTGGTGGTAGTGGTGGTGGTGCTGCTGCTGACGTTGGTGGTGGTGATGGTGGTGGTTGTGGTGGCAGTGGCAGCGGCAATGGCAATGGCAGGCAGTTGCAGCAGTAGCAGTAGAAAAGCAGTAGAGCAGTAGTAGTAGCAGCGGCGGCAGCAGCAGCACAGTAGTAGTGGAAGCAGTAGTAGTAGCAGCGTTGGCGGCAGTAGTAGCAGCAGCGGCAGTAGTAGTTCTTGTTGCCGCTGTTGGGTGTGTGTGTGTGTGGTGCGTGTGTTGCGGCGAGGGCGGCGGCTGCTGCTGCTGCTGCTGCTGCTGCTGCTGTTGTCGATATTGTGATGCTGTTGCCATTGATTGGTGATCTCGCTGTTGTCGCTTTGCCCGTTGCTGCTGGCAGTGGTGGTCGGAAGTCTGCTGCATTTTGTGGGCTGGAGGTGCTGGTGGGCAACTGCAGCTCCTGCTCAACCCTTCGGCCAATGCAAGCAGCAAGTTCCGACATTCACTCCGAACACCCGCCAAGCTGCGGATCATCTTCGGCTGGTAGTTGAACTAATGAAATCTGCGTGGAAGGAATTACGGCGAGAAGTTTCGCCGGAAGGCTTGAGCCCAGAAACAGCTAGGAGGGTGAGTAAAATTCGGATGCATTCAAGCGATGCTCACCTCTCGATAACAGGGTGTGTCTCACTGCTCTAATTTTGCATGGCCCGAAACCTCCATTTGCTTCAGTCCCCTGCACAAAACAACCTATGTTCAGTAGTGAATTCGATTCCCTTTAACACAAACAAGGGGGAAAAAACAAATCTCAACCAAATGGCCCTAAACCCATGATACGCCGACTCAAGCCGTGCCTGCGACCTGGTCCTAGCCATCTCAACCAGACCCGAGCCTAGTGACCCGGATCCCATCCCAAAGGGCCCAAATCCCAGCCAGCAAACCGCACCCAACCCTACATCCATCACAAAGAAATGCTAAAGCTACACCAAATGTCACTTGTCCTTGACCTTCATCGCAGACCTTGACCTAGGTAAAGCTACACTTGTACCCCTCCCCACAACCATAGCACTTGTGGGATACCTAGCAGATTGGGACACCTTCTCAGGTGCTATGTTGGAAGACAGGGTATACACTCAACCTGATCTGAAAGACCCTCCCCCCTTTCTTTTTGACCCTCCACCTCTTCCTTTTAACCCTCCATTTCTTTCTTGCCAACCCTGTGGCCGAAGCCTGCGGCAACTGCACTAAGCAACGGTTTAGGGTTGGGTTGGTTTAGGGTGGGTTCGGGCGGGGGGGGGGTAGGTGGGTTTAGGGTTGGTTTCGGATGGGTTTTGTTTAGGGTCGGTTTTGTGTTGGTTTAGGTTGAGCGACGGCGGATTTAAGGCTAGTTTAGGGTGGGATTTAGAGGCGGGGTAGGATTTGTTGAGGGTGGGTTGCCCCCGTTTAATATTGCGGGTTCCGGCTCTCGAGTGAGTTTTCGTATGATTTCGTAAACAACAAACAAACAGCACACATTAAAATGAGCTTCTGGTTCAATGAGTTGCAAAACAGCGCTATCATCCCCGATCCCGAGCACTGGACGCTCTTTCCCCTTGGACAGGCTGGCGGAATTCGTTTGGCATCCTCCCTGCCCCCAGCCACGCAATCTGTCCTGCGAGAGCGCCTGCAACTTAAGTTGCAGGTGGCCAAATCAAAAACAAAGCAAACACTTGCATACCCAATGTGTCGACCATCGGTACATGTGCTTTTGCTGTGGCTTACCTGCTCCTTGACATGTGCGCCCATATGGGCCCGCCTCCCTGCCAGCAGGTTGGAACCAGCAAGGGTCGCGAGGCGCGCGCAGGGTTCGGAGTCCGGAAAAACCGAAGTGCTGGTTGCCAGGTCAAACCTGAATCTGGTTCTGTAATGTTGACCCAATATTCATCAAACCCTGTTTATTAATAGAGGGTGTCCCTGGGTTTAGTGCGGAATCATCACTTTTAGAAAGGAACACCCCCATATTCATAAACTGGGGGTGATGAAAAGGGGGTCAACATTACCCAACAGTTCTGGTAACCTTGGGCCTCTCCCGACTCTCCTTTGGCGGCGTCCACAGGGGCGACAAAAGCATGTCCGATCTGATATCAAGGTGGCCAGTGCACCACTTCCCCTCATTCCGCCAATGCCAAGATGCCACAACCCCCCCGGAAAAAAAGAAAGACAACTGAAACAAAAAAGCAGACAGTCAGCTTCCCTCTAATTAGCACCACATCCCCAGTGACCAAACCCCCCGAGAAAAACGAGAAACACAAAAAACAAAAACACGTGGCTTCCCTCTAATTGGTGGTTTGGATTGGTGGTTAAAGGGTTTGGGGTGGTGGTTTCTCTCGTTTACCCACTACGTTACGAAGACCGCTTCACATACCAGAGAAGGAAGCTGTAATGAAAAAACAAAAGCAGCACTTCTTGCCCTCTCTGATCTGGGCTGTCCGTTTTCTGATCCCCCTGCTAAAAGTTGAAATCCTTTTTAGTGGCTTAAATTCGGAAGCCCAACCAACTAAAAGCAACTACAATCCCAAGCAACCTGAAAACTCAACCACTAAAAACAACAGGTGGGGCCCCTCCAAACCACTCGGACCCGGACGACTGTTCTGGGGACCGCCCACTGATCTCAGGACCTCCACTGCTCTCTGCCCCCAAACAGCCGGGAGGATGGCACCTCGTTCTGCGCCTCAAGCTTCACCTTCAGCGCCTCCAGCTCCGGCGGCTTCCGCGGGTTGCCCCGACCGACGACAAACACCGACGGCTGGGCGCGCGGTTTTTGGAGGGATCCGGATGCAATGGACACACCTGAGCATTGGAACTTGCAAATGGTGGTTTCCCTTTCATTATTTTGGTGCAAAAAACCATGTTTCAAATGGTAGCAAACTGCATTTAAGGAGCCCTTGGAACTTGCAAATGGTGGTGTCCCTTTCTTTATGTTGGTGGAAAAAACCATGTTTCAAATGGTAGCAAACTGCATTTAAGGAGCCCTTGGAACTTGCAAATGGTGGTGTCCCTTTCTTTATTTTGGTGGAAGAAACCATGTTTCAAATGGTAGCAAACTGCATTTAAGGAGCCCTTGGAACTTGCAAACGGTGGTGTCCCTTTCTTTATTTTGGTGGAAAAAACCATGTTTCAAATGGTAGCAAACTGCATTTAAGGAGCCCTTGGAACTTGCAAACGGTGGTGTCCCTTTCTTTATTTTGGTGGAAAAACCATGTTTCAAATGGTAGCAAACTGCATTTAAGGAGCCCTTGGAACTTGCAAACGGTGGTGTCCCTTTCTTTATTTTGGCGGAAAAAACCATGTTTCAAATGGTAGCAAACTGCATTTAAGGAGCCCTTGGAACTTGCAAATGGTGGTGTCCCTTTCTGTATTTTGGTGGAAAAAACCATGTTTCAAATGGTAGCAAACTGCATTTAAGGAGCCCTTGGAACTTGCAAATGGTGGTGTCCCTTTCTTTATTTTGGTGGAAGAAACCATGTTTCAAATGGTAGCAAACTGCATTTAAGGAGCCCTTGGAACTTGCAAACGGTGGTGTCCCTTTCTTTATTTTGGTGGAAAAAAACCATGTTTCAAATGGTAGCAAACTGCATTTAAGGAGCCCTTGGAACTTGCAAACGGTGGTGTCCCTTTCTTTATTTTGGTGGAAAAACCATGTTTCAAATGGTAGCAAACTGCATTTAAGGAGCCCTTGGAACTTGCAAACGGTGGTGTCCCTTTCTTTATTTTGGCGGAAAAAACCATGTTTCAAATGGTAGCAAACTGCATTTAAGGAGCCCTTGGAACTTGCAAATGGTGGTGTCCCTTTCTGTATTTTGGTGGAAAAAACCATGTTTCAAATGGTAGCAAACTGCATTTAAGGAGCCCTTGGAACTTGCAAATGGTGGTGTCCCTTTCTTTATTTTGGTGGAAAAAACCATGTTTCAAATGGTAGCAAACTGCATTTAAGGAGCCCTGGCAAAACTGGCCCAAATGCAAAAAAGGTGGTGTCCCTTTCTTTATTTTGGTGGAAAAAACCATGTTTCAAATGGTAGCAAACTGCATTTAAGGAGCCCTTGGAACTTGCAAATGGTGGTGTCCCTTTCTTTATTTTGGTGGAAAAAACCATGTTTCAAATGGTAGCAAACTGCATTTAAGGAGCCCTTGGAACTTGCAAATGGTGGTGTCCCTTTCTTTATTTTGGTGGAAAAAACCATGTTTCAAATGGTAGCAAACTGCATTTAAGGAGCCCTTGGAACTTGCAAATGGTGGTGTCCCTTTCTTTATTTTGGTGGAAAAAACCATGTTTCAAATGGTAGCAAACTGCATTTAAGGAGCCCTTGGAACTTGCAAATGGTGGTGTCCCTTTCTTTATTTTGGTGGAAAAAACCATGTTTCAAATGGTAGCAAACTGCATTTAAGGAGCCCTTGGAACTTGCAAATGGTGGTGTCCCTTTCTTTATTTTGGTGGAAAAAACCATGTTTCAAATGGTAGCAAACTGCATTTAAGGAGCCCTTGGAACTTGCAAACGGTGGTGTCCCTTTCTTTATTTTGGTGGAAAAAACCATGTTTCAAATGGTAGCAAACTGCATTTAAGGAGCCCTTGGAACTTGCAAATGGTGGTGTCCCTTTCTTTATTTTGGTGGAAAAAACCATGTTTCAAATGGTAGCAAACTGCATTTAAGGAGCCCTTGGAACTTGCAAATGGTGGTGTCCCTTTCTTTATTTTGGTGGAAAAACCATGTTTCAAATGGTAGCAAACTGCATTTAAGGAGCCCTTGGAACTTGCAAATGGTGGTGTCCCTTTCTTTATTTTGGTGCAAAAAACCATGTTTCAAATGGTAGCAAACTGCATTTAAGGAGCCCTTGGAACTTGCAAATGGTGGTGTCCCTTTCTTTATGTTGGTGGAAAAACCATGTTTCAAATGGTAGCAAACTGCATTTAAGGAGCCCTTGGAACTTGCAAATGGTGGTGTCCCTTTCTTTATTTTGGTGGGAAAAACCATGTTTCAAATGGTAGCAAACTGCATTTAAGGAGCCCTTGGAACTTGCAAATGGTGGTGTCCCTTTCTTCATTTTGGTGGGAAAAACCATGTTTCAAATGGTAGCAAACTGCATTTAAGGAGCCCTTGGAACTTGCAAATGGTGGTGTCCCTTTCGGTAGCAAACTGCATTTAAGGAGCCCTTGGAACCTGCAAATGGTGGTGTCCCTTTCTTTATTTCGGTGTTGAAACAAAAAACACATGCAACTCAAATGGTGGCAAACTGAATTTCTTTTCAGGAGCCCTGTTTAGGGTGGGGCTTGGGTTTCTTTGGGTTGGCCCGGGCTAGGGTTGGCTGAGTGCTGGTTTGGTGGTGGCTTTAGGGTTGGCTTCGGGTAGGTCAGGTTTAGGGCGGCTATAGGAATGATGTGCTGGCGACTGCACTGCTGGTGTATGGATTTAGGGTTGGTTCAGGGTTGGTTTCGGGGTGGTTTAGGCCTGCTATAGGGTTTGCTTGCGGTTTGTTACGGTGGCTTTTTGGTGTTTTAGGGATTGTTTAGTCCTGGTTTGTGGTGGGTTGGGAATTTGTGTTTGTCGGGCTTAAGGTTTAGGGTTGGCTTAGGGCTGGTTTAGGGTTGGCTTAGTGGTGGTTTAGTTTAAGGTTGGGGGTTGATTTTGAGGTGGCTTTCAGCGTGGGTGTAGGGTTGGCGTAGGCAGGGTTGGCGTAGGTGTGGGTTAGGGTTGCTTAAGGGTGGGTTTGGGTTTGGTCCAGGGTTGGCTCGGGTTGGATTAGGGTTGGTTTAGGGTGGGTTTAAGGCTTTCTTTAGTGCTGGTTTGGGGTGGGGATTTATTTGCGGTGTATGCTGGGAGTTTAGAGTTGAATTAGGCTGGTTTAGGGATATTCTAGTGTTGGTTTAGTGGGTTCAGGGTGGGAGTTTGGGGTGGGTTTGGGGGGGTATGGTAGGCTTAGGCTGGTTAAGGGATGCTTAAGTGCTAGTTGAATGTTGGTTTAGGGTTGGTTGCGGGTGGTTTAGGGTGGGTATAGGGTTTGCTTAGGGCTTGTTTAGGGAACATTTTTTTGGTGTTGAGGGTGCTGGTTTAGGGTGGGTTGCAAAGCACGCAAAAATCTGCAAAAGCCAAAAAGCACCCCCCCCACCGCAACCGACCGACCGACCGACCGACCGACGGACCGGGGACCCTTCCACAACCCAGCCCGCCAAACCTCGGGCGAAAAAAGCGGCTCGGGGTTGGGCCCCATCCAGCTTCCAGCGGTCACAAAAAAAACGCAGCGTGCAGCAGCCCCAAAAGGGACCCTACTGATGGTTGCATCACGCCTAAGAAGCCACGGTTGAAGCAATAGCGTTGGTTGATATTTACACGAGAATCAAATCATTCCAGGGTTTCAATCATGGTGGAAACCACAATGTTGGTTGGTATTCATGTTGGGGAATCGAATCAGAAACCAGGGCTTCTGAACGGTGGTGCGAACGGAGTTTGTCCACTATGTTACTCACCCGTTTCTGCTTTTGCTGACGTCTCAACCTGGTCAATATGATTTTACTCGATCCCCAGGTGAAGCGGCTGGGCTTACCAGGTGAGCTCACCAGAAAAAATGCAGGCTTAATGCAACATTTTCTCGTGGGGTAATGCCGAACAGGAGATCACCCTGGAGATTCATTTTCCATGAATTTCCTGGTAGTTCTCGGCTTTGACTTGCTTTTCGTAAATCTCGATGGTTTTTTCGTGAAGTCGCCTAAAACTACTAAAGCTCCTATATTTTTGTGAGATTTCAGAATTGGTACGGTTTCACGTCTTCCCCGCCCAGAATTACCCGCAAAACGCCCGCAAAAAGCCCGCAAACGCCCGCAAAACCCCGCAAACGCCCGCAAATCAGAAAAAGACGCTTTTTGGGCTCGGGGGTCGCGCAAAACTCCTAGAAACCACTTAGAACGCCCAACATGCCCAAAACTACCAGAAAACTAAAACGCCTACTTGGATGGGCGTGGGTGGTTGCATTTACTTACTGAACATACTAAGTGTTTGGGCAACTTGCTATGTTACTTGACACACATAGGCTATGTCCTCTAAGTTGTACTTAGGCAGCTTGGCTAAGTCCATTTAGCCTTGACTTAGCAAGTCCGGTAAGTCCCGCAGGGAGGAACAAAAAGCGGTGGAATGCAATGCTTTGTCAGAGCACCTCAGGCCGCTTGAGGCCGAGCGCTCCCTGGTCCAAGACCGTTCCGAGACCGTTCCGAGACCTCCGTACAGGCGTCGCAACCGAGGTGGTTTGCCTTATACTGCAAGCATAGCAAAAAAACAAATAAAACAGGGTGGGTCAAAAATGGATTTACCCATGTGATGGAACCCTGGAAAACGGAACCAACGACTGAAAACTGCGGCCTTTTGGGGGTTTAATTGTGACCCATTGTGTGCCCAATATATCCCCAGGTCTAAGTTTATGTAGTTTCGGGGTTTTCATTGTCAAAAAAACAGGGCACCTCTGAAAGAGGTTGTTTCCCAAGGAAGATTCCTTTTGTATCAAACCCCAAAAGGGTTTCCTTTAAACCCCGAGTCGTCATGAGGTATATATGCAATTGGTTGCACTTTTGTTGCCACACCTACACCCGATCCCTTATATAAAAGCAATGTTGTTGCTGGGGTATGTTTTGGGGGCCAACGTATATATCGTATGTTGTACATATATAGTATATGTGTGTATAAGGTTTGGGCACCGTGCCGCCAGCC